ATCATCATCATCATCATCATCATCATCATCATCATCATCATCATCATCATCATCATCATCATCATCATCATCATCATCATCATCATCATCATCATCATCATCATCATCATCATCATCATCATCATCATCATCATCATCATCATCATCATCATCATCATCATCATCATCATCATCATCATCATCATCATCATCATCATCATCATCATCATCAAGTAATCATATTTATTTTTTTCAAAAAAGAGGGGTGAATATGATTTATACATTCTACATCTAGCAAACTACATCAAAGAGCTATCTTTTATCAAATGTGTCTTATATTTGGCTTTTATAGATATTTATTGAATAAATGAAAAGATCGTTGACATTAAACAGGAGAGGATAGAGAAATAAAAAGTTATTAAATGTCACAAGTTAACGGTTATAATTCAACTAGATTTTCATTCAGTTATATCAGATAAGTAGTTTTACGATCCTCGAAATACAATTTCTCTTATTTTCCTTTTCTAAATGAAAATTCGCACACCAGTGGAGTAGTTACTATAATGTCAGTTTTGTTTTAGATTTCTCAAGTCAATTTCACTTAGTGGTTTAAATCATCATTTTTTAATTAATAAGGTACAAATTTGAAATGATTTATATCTTCTTCAATCTGAGTAGTTAGTAGTCTCTTTGGTATTTAAAAAGTGTTCGGATTAAATAAGATTAGACTAACGTCCAACTATTTACTGGATAAAATCTACTCATTGATTATCAACTATGACCGTCTAAGCATATAGTAGTATCATTGATTTATAACCAATGAAATAGTCAGTAAGATATACAAACTGAATGAACAAATCATTTTTCTCATTGATTTGCATTATTCCATCATTTACAATAATTTGATTCTATGTTAATGTAAAGTAAAGAGTTCATAACTGAACCAGTGGGTTAACTATTGTTACACTGACAAGTAAATATATCCAAAAGTTTAAGCCCTCTCTGCGACACCTAAAAGTCTAGGGTTTAATACACATGGAAGTGCTGGATGAACACTGAAGTTAAATGTGCTACGTCCACGTTGTGCTATTATATGTACTTAAATACGAGGAACTACTGCAACTCCTACGAAGCGAAATGAGAACATAAAAGATTGATGCAAGTGAAGATATTTTCACTCTAAAAACAAGGCGATCTTAGCGGAAAATACACTCGTTTAAACATTGATTTGTACAATTATTAAGTCAGTCATGTAAAACCTTCATTTCAGAAATCTCCACAACGTCCTATAATAATACATAAGATACTTATTTGTATTTCCAATATTTAAACAAAAAATTGTTCATTATCAAATATTCCTTTCCATTAAATGGGACTAAATAATAGCAAGTGTCTCTGTCTTATAATCAAGTCATAAGATAATCAAGAAATCTAAGAAATAAGAATATATATGTATTTCGAAAGAACATGCTATGTTAGTTACTAAACAAAGACATTCTTCCTCCCCTAAATAGTTGCATCATTTAAGTTCTATAAAACTATAGATGAATGTTTCGGTAATAAACGTGAAGATTCAATTAATGAAGTACGCTGTTTGTTGTTCAGATATTTTGTAGTGTTATTTTTAATATAAAAATATACAACTAGCTTGCCAAAAACTTACTAATTGGAAATTTGTTTATTTACATTTAAACAAATTCAGTAGGATTAATTGAGTTCATAAACGATTGTCTTGGTGTTGCCAGTATATACAGCGGAATTAGTTTTCCTAGTAGTAGAATGATCGATAAATTCAAAAAAACTGTTTTTTAATTAGTTGCTTAGATGGGTGAATATTTCAGTGTGTTACTGTCTTCATTAAATGTTAAATGCAGTTCCAAATACGTAATAGTTTAATGAGTGATAGCATCTACGTATCTCTCAGTAAGTATTTAGTTATCCACGGTTTTATGACATTACCATCAGGATGGATCTACATCAACTTGTTTCAATTCCATAAGGCATGTGAAAAGATAAACGATGTCGTGGTGTACAACGCAAATCTTAGAAAATCATATAGTTTTGAGTAATTATAGATAATGAGAAGCAGCGGATTTAAATTCCTTAATTCTATAACTCTTCAGTAATACCACCCTGTGGTCTTAAAGAAACTGATACCTCTAGTTGAGTTCTAGCTTACGTCATCAAGATTTACGAAGGTGTTATTAGTGAGCAACTCATCTCATGAATGATCTGTTGTGGATTTGAAATTTTCAAGCTAATCAGTCATTCCATAACCACGAGTTTGTGTAGCTATCAGAATCAATAAATGGATATTGTATAGATTGATTAAGTAACTGTTCAAAAATTTGTCGTCGTGTTCTGAGTTTTGGACTCCATTTTCGGTTGTTTTTTACATGATCATCCTATTATTCCGTTTAGTTTTCCAAAGATTGGCTAAATCAACATACATAACACGACTTTTCGAGTGTAAAGCATAACTAATGACCAACAAGTTCTCTGTTGAATTTAGAGGTAGTTGGAATTTCTGTCATCAACAGTTCAGTGCAGAAAGAAAAATTCAGTCGTCAATCATTTTAGATAAAACAATATTTCTAATGTTAATCACATTTGACTGAACGCCTAGTAATCCTCGTCTAAAGTATAAAATACCGTAATCCTAACGTCGGAAAGCATATATTTTTTTAAAGAACGGACTAATAAAATAAATTCAACATTTTAGTAACAATATAATTTGTGATCCTAAAAATGAATGACTTTTCTGTAGTTATATTATACTTGGTCATTGTCTTGATGGTGTTTATCAGAAGGGATGAATTGAATTTTTTCAGTCAACTAACAATTAGTTGTTTCTACTGGTTTCTATTTTCCCATTGTTGACATTTAGGACAGTATTTTGTCGGTCTGTTTTCTTACAAACTTCTTGAACAAACCCATATTTACTATAATAAAATAGTGTTTCATAACAGTAGCTATCAGCTGACGAATATAACGCTTGATCATTTAAAAGATTATGATCATTATTACATTATGGTGAAAAGAATTTAAGAGATTTGTTCAAAACAATTAAAATATTTCATATCTCAGTCAATCGATTAAAATAATGTGAAGGTATTATATACAAATTATGTTCTTCTAAATGTAAAACGTGTGCAGTTAACAAGTCAGACGGTTGACGTTCACACCAAGAAAAACACCATAGGTTAGAACAAACTACTTATTTTGCAATCCAAAAACTATTAAAAATCACTTATTTGTAAAACAGATTGAATTTAAAAGTAGTAGACTGACTAAAGTTTAATATACTGTACTGTATTGCAAAATTTAGATAAATGATATTTAGTGTTAAAATTTTTAATTACATCTATTGAAAATGTAATTCTTGACTAAATTACATAAAACAGACTTGATTACTAGTTCATGATGTGTAAATATGTATGATGAATGAAGGAAATAATTGACATTTGCCAATTTCAAATTGTACAGTCGTTCATTGAGAAGAGAGAAGACTGACATGACTTAAGTACGTATATGTATATATGTTTGTAGTGAGGTTTATCACAATATATAAAGAAGGAGCAAATCTATTAAAAGAAGTATCTCATCTTCAAATACAACTATATAATTCAATATAACTTATTTATCAATGATAAGACAAATTAAACAATTTCTTAATCTAGATTCCAACAACATTATTGTCAGACAATAAAATAATATGAAATCGGGGAATTGATTTTTTTATTTATTTATCTTGCCATAACTACTGACACAATTGATTTCCTTTTTATAGTTCATTTCAGTCAAATAGTATTTAACTTTTTTTGATCATTTGTTTTGGCAGGCTAGTTAGATTTTGCTTACTACAATTTGTTATATATATATATATATATATATATATATATATATATATATATATATATATATATATATATATATATATATATATATATATACTATTATAATCCATATACAGCCCAAAATGAAAACAAACACTATGAAGTCATCATTGTATTCATTTCAATTGTAATAGAAAACATTGTAATGTATCGGTAAGTAAACATTTTTTTGTATAAAGCTTGTTTACATGTATATATTACTTTGAAAAGGTTAAATTAAGTACTCAATATAAGACTTGTTTCTTTTGATGTAAATCTAATAAGACTGAAATACAAGAGAATGCTTGGATATTATGTAAATATAACTAAATTCCATAAATGGTTTTTGTTAAATAATCAACTTTAATAAATATAACATGGTTTACTTATTTACCTTATAAAATATTTCAGACTATGAATGTGTAAAGTTCTTAAGGTATATAATTAGTTACATCAATGATATAACATTTATTGAATAGTATCTTACCTATCATGACTCTGATTTATTCACATACCCGCTTGATGCATTTATTTTTGACATTTAGAATTATTATAGGGTTGGAAATTTCTATTTGATATCTTTTTTTAGAAAGAGATTTAAGCATAATATCTTGAATATTCTTAATTTAAACATTGTAACAAACAGAATAGTAATCATTTAATTGAAGCCATCAATATTAAAGGGTCATCTTTGAAACGTTTTTCAATAGTCTAATTCATGATTTAAGAAAAATAAAAGCTTTATTAAACTTGTCATGGAAACAATGAAAAAAAATAGGGAATTAGCGTACATGTAATAGTTGAGTGTTAGTAACTATTACTTAACTATTCAGTGTATTAAGTGAAAAAAATTCGGGATAATAAAACAAATTGAGAGACCACCTTTAAGTTGTACTTACTTCTTTATGTGTCAGTTACCAGTAAACATTATCCTCTTAATTATTATATTTTGCTGAACTAGCTTAGATCGATCATTTTAGGATAAAACCCTTAAGTAACACACTGTTAATATTTATAAGCTTTATATTAACTCCTACTTATTTAAATTTAGATAGATTTAACCAATCGATATGTGTAAAAAAATGTAATTATACGTGCTTGTTAACAGATTACTCCTAAGAGAGTCTTGTTAATAAATCTAATTCACTGTTTTACTGATAAATATTTACTAATATATATAATGAGGTCTAGGTTGTGATACGTTATTTAGGTAATGCTTGGAGCCTGAAACATAGACATCGCGATATCCAATATTCGTTGTGAATATATATATATATATATTCTGAAGTCCCTATTCCTCTGGATATAATTGTTCGAAGTGTTTATTGTCTCCTTTTTCTTCAAAGTCACAAATCTTCCTGTGTTGTGGTATATGCTACTGATTTTTTCAGACATTAGTAGTATGTATCATTGATCGAAG